AAGTTGACATAATTTATGACTATTTAGCATTGAAAATGTTATATTTTGAAATAAGCTCAATAATGTTATACTTAACAGCTGTGACAAACTTGTCTCAAATGTGTTATGTTACTTTTTAACAGCTTTTACTTTGGCTTATAAGTAATAGCTAAATGCCTTAAGTCTGTGTGAACTTATGAAATTGAGAGTATAACATAAATATTAACGAGCGTTTAGATTAAGTTTACATTAATGCAAAGCTCAGAATATATGGCACGTTATTATTTACATTTATTATTCATGTTTAGTTTAACAGTCGTTTTAACATTTAAATGTTTAATAACATTTATGCTTGTGAATTGGAAAATGCAACATTGTTGTAAACCCTGGGCATCTTTTATAGTTGTATGTTAACCTTAACAGCTGTTAAAACTGCCTTGAGTATTTATTATTTTAGGTTTAATAGCTGGGGTTGGCTTTAAATTACATAAGTGTGTTAACCTTAACAGCTGTTAATACTGCTTTTTGACATAAAAAAATATTGAGCACATAATGTTAAAAAAAGAATACATTTTTACATTAGAGTTTACAGCGTCGGATTAACAGTGTGTACTCGATTTAACATCATATCTGTAATGTTAAATATGCATCGCCTTCAACCAAGCAGATCCTCACAGCTGTGGCACACTTTTAGTTACAGTAGTATGTTAGTATTAACAGCTGTTAAAACTGCTTTAAATATTTTAGAATATTGAAAAATTTATTTGGCCCACATTTAGATAGTGGGAATTTTTTTGCCATTGAAAGCGACACTTTAACAGAGTATATACGATTTTACAGGATATCTGTAATGATAATTTGGCAACGCCTACAACTAAGCCGAAGCCACAGTTTCATCATCATCATCATCATCATCATGATAATTTCTGTTGAGGGGATTTTTGAACAGTGCTTAGCAAGTTGCCACTTGTGGCAGCTTGTTGTCGCTGTGCTTCAAGCGGGGGCGGGGTGCGGCTGCTGGCGACAAATGAACTAATTTGATTTACATGCAAATTACATTTGGGCCAACTAAAAAACAACTTTCTCTGGTCGCACAGGACGACGGCGACGACCACGACGTCGCCATCATTAAAAATGTTTACAAAATTAACAAAATTGACAATATCCGTTGGCCAGCTGCAAAAAAAAAATAAGAGTAAAAAGTTGGTAAAACGTGGAACGGAAACCGGGCAGACACACGCAATTCTTCCCGTACTCTCTCTTTCTCTCTCTTCACGCTCTCGCACTCTTATTACCCCAAACTCAACCCCCCTCCCCCCTTCGTCGGAGCCTAAACAATTGCTTTTTGTTGTGGCCCACATTTCGCTGGTTTATTTAGGGTCTGTGCGCGAGAGGAACTGCTGCCAGCGGCAAACTCTTGGCACGACAACGTGCCGCATATTTAAATTTTAATTAAAATTTAGCTTGTGCGGCACGCGTTGCACCGCCCGCCATCCCCCACCCTACGTCCTTCCCCCCGCCACATTGCCATTTTGAGCGCGCCTCGAAATATGCAAATAAAAAAATTGCCTTTGTTTTCTGCGGCAACGTGTAGGGCGAAAATCTTGGTCTGATTTTTTGATAGCTCTTCACTTGAACTGCAGGGAGTCGGAGAGTGGGGTAAGGGGGGTGCGAGGGCGGCGCAGTGGCCAAGAAGCAAGCAGCTTTCTTTGGGTTTATCATATTGAGGTTAAGAGCTTTATATACGCGCTTAACTGTATTTATATTAATCCTTTACGATTCTGTCTAGCTTGACTTTACTTTACTTTACTTTTGCCTCCAGCGAAATGTCCTCGAAAATGAGCTCCAGGTTGTTTTATTGCTTGTCCTCCATTGTTAGTTGATGGGCGAAAATAAAATATTTTGGCTGCTTAGTTTGAGTTAAATGTGTAAATGCTTCAGTTGTTTATATAAGCAGGTCATGTCCTCCATGGTCAGTTTATTTTACGAAGGTTAAATAAAGCGTGAGTTTATATTCATATAATTTAAGAAATATATTTATATTTATTTTGTCAAGCACACGTCCTCCATGGTCACCTAGTTAACAGCTTACCAAAAATACATAAATTATATTTAATAAAGCTTTAGATTATTTTTAATATTCGTATAACTTCTATAATATTTATATATCAAATACGTGTCCTCCATGGTCACTTAATAGGTATCTTATCATTTTTTTTTTAATTTGATTTAATGTAGCTTAATCTTTATCTTTATCATATTCTTCTAAAATCTTATCTTACGAAATACATATGTATTTATCCCGGTCCTGTCAAATGAAAGTGCTTTGATAAGTTTCCTCTATGGTCACTTTGTTGAATATTAATCAATTTTATTCAAATTCGATTTAGATTTTTTTCTCATATTCGTCTATCTTATGCAATACATATATGTATATTTGATACGTGTCCTCCGTGGTCACTTAGTTGGCAACTAATCAACTTTATATAAATTCGATTGAGTGCAGCCTGAGTTTATTTCAAATTCGTCAGTCGTCAATTGAAGCTGTACAGCAACAATTGTTTTGTTGTTTGCCACGATGATGATGATTAATCTTCCTTCTTGAATTCATAGAAGAACCATGCTTGGTTCAATCGACTCTTCTGGACTTACTAGCCAATTAAACTTCTCTATCTGTTCAACAAAGTACACCTAGCATGTCCCGTTCCGGGTCGTCTGTAATGTTTAGAACAAGCATTATAGAGTACTCTGCTCGGAGTTCTCTCTTCTTTTTATAATGTCATCTATTCCTAAACTATTTAGCAAGCAGTCTTAGCATACACTCTTACTTCAGTTCATTTATTTGTTTGCTTATATACCAACTATTTTCTTTAGGAGGTTATCTTTAAATAGCTTGAACTCTTTAAGACTTCACCTCTTCCCAATAATAGCAACGCATGTTCTCAAATGGTTGCTTGAATATAAATATATATATATGTATCTATATATCCCCATTAATTTGTTGCTTTAATAAAACTCATATCTTCAATGAAATTTACTTTGACGTTATAAATGTCTTCATGGTTTTTCATATATATGAATGCTCTCAACCCTTTATAGCATCCCATTCCTTATATCATCCCATCCTTTACAGCATCACGTGTCCTCCATGGTCACTTAATCTGCAGTTAGAACGACTTAAGAGAAGCAAGAGAATTCTTACCTTTTCATAACACTCAAGCCTCCTTCAAGCTTGTATAATAAGCCAATTATATTATTTAAGTTAATTTCTTTTGCGCTGCGTGTCCTCCATGGTCACTTAACATTGATAAAAACTCTTTTTAGAAATCTTTTACAAATGGTCTTGTTGAAATTGTTAAAAGACGTCAAGTACTGCTCAGCTTGCTATCTAGATTATAAACATATTTCTGCACTTGTATGCATTTTGACAAAAATGTCCCTCAAGTATTTACAGTGTGGAATTTCTTACAATTTTCATATAAAATGCATAAATTCATTGTTAGATTGCTTTCGCTGTCAACCGTTGAGCTGCTGTCAGATTGAGATACTTCAAGTTGCGGATGATTTAAATAGAGAAGATACACTTAGTTATGCATAGTTCTGTATGGGGGCCGCCCCACTTTGGGGCACCTATAGAATTTTACTTGGGGTACTTTTGCCCAACTCCCATCTCCTCCTTCTTGCGCTCTCTCTGAGCTACGATTTTCCTTTAGCATTTGTGCGAAAATCTGTTTTCGACTGTTTGGAATTTGCAGTTAGGTTTTTCGTGGCTTTTTAGTGAATGGGATGCGTGTTGTTGTGGGTAGTTCGGTCTTGGAATTGTTGTCGTTGCCGTTGCCGTTGCCTCTGCCCGTGCTTGGCTGCAATCCACAAAACCGCCACGAATGGATAGGTAAAAGAGTGCTGCCAGCCAGCCACAATTTGCCGTGTAAATATTAATGCACTCATCGTACAGACACGTCTTGGCGATGGGCGCGTGATTTATGTTATTCGTGTTTGTGACGCAGCTTTTTACTTTAACTAAAAAGTTAAAAAAAATACTCAATTTTGTTTAAGTTAGTCGCCATTCTGATAAACCTATTCATTCTATGCTTCGATAGCACAAAGTATAGTTCTATCGATATATCGATAAAAATTTAGAAAAAACTCAAACTAGAGCAAAATATCATTAAAAGGTATAAATTAATAGCATTTAGATTTAAACAATCATTTTGTTGTAGAGAAAAAGTGACAACCATTTTGTTTTTATTATTCGAGCATTTCGTGCATCGATATATCGATAAACTACATATGGCGCAGCGTGAGCTACATCTATCACATTAAAACATGAAATTCTTGATGTTTTAACGAAAATATTTGCCTGTTTTTAAGACGAACAATGAGTATAGATAACTAGTCAATGAAATGCTTTCGATATATCGACATATCGATAAACTACACGAGGCACAAAGTGACCCATCTCTAGCAAACTGAAATACACTTTGCCCAACCAAGGCGTTTGGGGCCAGCTGTGGGTTGAGTTAAGTTGGATTGGTTGCTATGTAGGATAGCAGCAGCTGTGGGTGGTGATGGGGGTGTTGGGGGTTGTGCGGGTTGTGCGGGTTGATGCAGGAAAACGTCTGTGCTCAATTTTTCAAAGCTCGTTTGTGTCGTTCCTGGGCTCGTTCGCTGGTTCGTTCGTTCGGGCGGTTCGTTCGTTGGTGGCTGACTATGCAAATAATGAATGCAAAATATTGCTGAAGTGTGTCTGAGGCGAAAAGCAGCAGAGCAAATGCGCTTGATGGGGGTGGGTGGGGCGGTTGAGCGGCGGCAGCAGAAATAGGGGCGAGAAATAGTGCTGGAAAATGTTCTTTAGAACTTTGCACTTTTCTATTAAGTTTTCGGGTTGTGAGTGTGTGTGTGTATGTGTGTGTTCGTGTGTGTGCTTGTTGAGAGCTTTGCGCTTAAACTACTATCGCTAATTAAATTTTCAATTAATTTTTAGCCATTCTAATTTTATTTTTATTTATCATTTCTTGCAGCTCAACACACAAACCGAAACGGAAACGGAAGTGTGCACGTGCAGAGGAAGTAAAAAGTTGCCAACAGGAATTGAAAGAAAAAAAGATAACATAGTTCAACACAACGGGTCGTATGATTAATGAAACCTAAAGGAGAGTTTTAAAACTTAAAAAAAAAAGGAAAGGAAAAGTGTGACAAGCAACAAGAAAAGCAATTACAATAATATGTTCAAATACGCCGTATTTAAAGATGTCTGCATTAAGGCCGGACACTGTGCCATCATCTCAGATCCCGGAAAGGTTGCGGGCTGAGCCAATAAAAGTGTGAAATTCTCGAGAAATATGTGGGAGACTTTTTCAAGAATTCATGAAAAACTCACGTGAAAAATAAATTACATTTTAAGGAAATTCCAAAGAATTTTTAAATGTGAGTTGCACATAATTTATTTATATACATTTTGGAAGCGTAAACTAATTTAAAGTCTTAATTTTGTGAGAGTTTTCTTTTAAATAGAAAGATAGGTAAACATTTTTTTGTTTTTATACATTTTTTTTTTTTAATTTTTAATTTTTATTTATTTATTTAAATTAATTCGCGCATGTTTTTTTATTTTTATTGACTTGTTATGCTCCTTATATATAAATAAATAAAAACAAAATTTACTAAACTCAATATTTCCCTCTCAACAACAGATGGCGCCACAGTGAAAAAAAAAAAATAAAGTGCATATCAATACTAAAATGTCCCTGCTCGGGCGTCATGAAATGCTTATGAAAAAGTGTTGAAAGTGTGTAGAAAAAAAAGAGACGAATGATAGTGAATTCAAAAGTACCCTAACAAACTTCGACAGTGTATATATAGTGTATTTTTGCTTATGAATGCCTAAGACTGGGCAATAAAAGTTGTACTTACGCAAAAGTCAAAGAGTAATGGATAAATCGAGTAGCGTCAGTCCCAGTGAGTGTCGCGTAACCAGATCAAGCATGACGCCAACGCTGCGGCTGCAGCAGAGCCCCAGGCGTCAACAGCAGCAGCAGCAACAAGCACAGCAGCGGGAACAGCAGCAGGAACAACAGTTAAACGATGAACAGCGACAAATTAAAGCTAAGTCTCCGCAGCAGCCGCTGTCGACGTCAACGCTGACGCCAACGCCGGCGCATCATCAGTTTCGTGCGCCCGCACAACAGCAGCAGCCAACCAAGCACAAGAGCAGCAGCAGCAGCGGCAGCAGCAACAACAACAATAATAACAACAACAACGGCAGCGGCAGCAAAGCCTGGAGTAAACGGCAGAACAAGACGAGCGGTAAATACAACGCCAGCGCCTGCGTCGGCGCCAGCGCGCAGCAGCAGCATCATAATCATCATCATCACCATCATCAGTATCCCCCACATCATCATCCCAATGGCAGCGGCGTCGCTGCTCAAGCAGCTGCCGGCGCCGGCGTCGGTTCGCTGCCAACTGCCGCCGCATCGGCAACTGCGGCTGCAGCCGCCGCCCACAAGGCGGATCTGGAGAACATACAGAATATCAAAAATCAAATAGCTGGCGGACCCGCCCATAGCGGCGCCCATCATGGCGGCGGCGGCGGCGGCATCGGCACACATCACAGCGTAGCCGGTAGCGCTGCTGGCATTGGCAGCGCTGCCGGCAGCGGTGGTCATCATCATCACAATCACAACACGCGGCTCGCACAGACGGCGGCAGCGATAGTGGGCAATGGTCTGCCCATGGCCGTAATGGACGCCAAGTTGGGGCACGGGCACGGACTGAAGGGCCAGCAGCAGCAGTACAAGAAGATGCTGACGCACAGGTAACGTAACGTAAACCAATCTCAGCTAACGTATTCTATGCCAAATGATGTTATGTATTACGGGTCATAATGTAAGGTACACATGAGGTTACGAAAAATGCTATTACGTTATTTAATGTTACGTGCAAAATAATGTAATGAATTCTCTTGGTTGTTATGCCATATTTAACGTTATGCATTGTTGCGTCACATAATTTTGCCTTAAGGTACTTGTCCTTGATCGTAATGTCAAATTTTATTCTACTTATTGTTATGTATTATGACGTAACGACGTCTCATAATGCAAGTTGGGTAGTGTGAGAAATTAAACAAAACTTTGTGTAACGTAATAATGTTAAATTTACTAACATTCCGAAAATTGGCATCACTTTGTTTAATATAACGTAATTAATTCGCTTTATTGTTTTGTTACGATTAACGTAATGTATTGTGATTTTATGTTACAAAACGTAATATCTCATATAATGTACCAAAGGTACTTATACTTGAACAAAATAGAACAAAACGTAACGTAATGGAGCGTAATGGAACAAAATGTAACGTAATGGAGTGTAATGCTACGCTTTGTCACGTTACTTAAAATATCTAAAACTTCGAATGGTGCTGTAACATTTGGTACAAATCATAACATAACGTAACTAACTACGTCAATTATATAATATGTTATTATGTTTTTGACAATTCGTAACTTAATAAAACGTGTAGCGTAACGTTATGTAACATAACGCAACAAAGTAAAAGTATCAAACGTAGAGTAGTTTAAGCATTCCCTAACTACAAATTGTACCTTTGAGGACTTTTATGTTAAGTTTATTGCTATAATATTGATATCTAACTCTATCTATCTCTTTCTTACAACCACAGAGGTCATCATCATCACGTGCTGTGCGCTGGCAACAATGCGAATCATACGTGCTGCCTCGTCACTGGCTGCAATGGAAGCGTCGGCGCCGCCGGCAAGGATACGCAAAGCAATAAGGACACCAGCTCGCTGAGCGGCAACAGCAGCATCATTTCGGGCAGCGCTGCAGCTGCGGCGGCGGCTGCCAACGCCGTGCACTATTGCTGCGGGCGTTCGAAGTTCTTTTTGTCCGAGAAACGTTTGCGCAAGGAGGTGATTGTGCCGCCAACGAAATTTCTGCTCGGCGGCAACATCTCGGATCCGCTCAATCTCAATTCGCTGCAGCACGAGAACACGTCGAATGCGTCGTCGAGCAATAATACGCCAGCGACGACGCCGCGTCAGTCGCCGATTACGACGCCGCCGAAAGTGGAGGTGATTATACCGCCGAATATACACGATCCGCTGCATCTGCTCGATCCGGTCGATTCGATGGAATATGAGAAGCAGCTGACGTCACCCATGAAGCGGGGCGGCATGCTGACGCGTGGCAGCCACTTGAAGCTGCAGCAGCAGCAGCAGCCGCATCATCGGCAGCACAGGGCGCGCAAAAATCGCAAACGGCGGCGTTTCGATTCCAACAATACATCGTATGCAAGCGACGACGTTGCAGTCGCTGAGGGCGTAGCGGAGGCGTCAACGCTTTCGATTTCACTGGAAGATGCGCCAGCCGCAGCAGCAGCTGCAGACGCTACTGCTGTAGCTGGAGCCGTCGTCGGCGCAGCAGCAACAACAATAGCAGTAGCAGCGGCAGCGGCAGCAAGTGAAGCTGCACTAATAACAACAACAGCGGCGACGTCGCCTGTAGCTGCACTGAGCGCCACAACGCTGCTGAGCGAAGCGGCAGCGTCGGCTTCAGTTGAAACAACGGAATTGGCACAACAGCAAGCGCATGTGCGCTCTCGCTCTCCGCAGGCAGCGGCCACTGCCGTGGAGGAGACAACAACGCCAGCGCTAGCAGCCGGCGCACAAACGCTCTCCCCACTGGAACAAATGGAATGCAACGTGGTGCGGCCGGCAGCGACGTTAACGTCATCACCATTACAGTCACAACAACAACAGCACCAGCAGCAACATGTGGCCGTAATTGCCGAGGCGCTGAGCAGCGACAACAGCAACACGCTAACAGTGCCTGGCGACGGCAGCAGCAGCAGCAGCAGCTCTGTCGATTTGGGCCTAAGCGCGGTAACAGCCGCTTCGACGTCGGCAGCGGCGCTGGCTGTGGCGTCCACGCTGGCCGATCGTCGTGCGCTGGCCAGTCGTGATTTGCGCTTGGATTTGGACAGCACGTGCTACGGTGTAGGCGGCACGGGTCTGAGCTTTGGCGCTGGCAGCGCAGCCAGCTTTGGCAGCGGCAGCAGGAAACGTAAAATTAGCGAGAGCAACAATTCGCAAAAGAGCAAGGTGGGTACGAAATGGAATTGAAACTAATTGAAATGGGCTATCGAGCAAGACCGTGTATGTGTGTGTGTGTGTGTGTGTGTGTGTGTTTCTGTGAGCTTGTGCTTTAAATGTTGTTGTGGGGAAGCAAGTCGCAAGTCAATCGCTTGCTTTGTTTTGATTGCTTTTGGCTGTTTTTATTTGAGAGTTTTGTTGTTGTTTTGTTGCTTGTTCAAGCGTTGCTTAGATTGAGGTTAAGGGGTCAGGGGCGGCAATGAAAGAACTTTCTAAGGGTAGCCAAAAGCGATTAAAAATTCAGCGATGCTGTTGTTATTAAGGTGTGTGTGTGTGTGTGTGTGCGCGTTTTTTGTTGCCAATCATTTTAATAGTTGTTTGTGGTATATATCAAAAATGTTTAATTAAAATATTCAAATTATATAGATAAGATTTGGTGCGGGAGGGCAACTAAAAAAGTTACGTTTATTTGCTTTATTCAGGATGTTAATAAAATTGTTTATTATTTGGTTTAAATGTTGAACTAATAGGCTTTAATTAGACTGAGAAAATTGGATGCTAGAAATCGTTATTAAAATTAAAAAAAAGGTAGGCTTAAAATCTTGCTTGAGAAAAGTATATTCTTCCCATGGAAATCCAAGATTTCAGAAAAAGAGCATTCAGATTATATAGTTCTACTAAAGCAAAGTGTTCCTCATAGCGAAGGACCACTGTAGATACTAGAGGGTTTACTTTATGCATGCAAGTGAAAACTTAAATAATTGATGCTTGGGTTTAAGAGAAGCTCGACCCCGATTCCATTTATGTTTAAACATATTTGCTCATACTAAACGAAGACCGAAACCTTTTAGAAATTCCATCGTCACGATGCCATGGACAAAATTGTTAGCCCGGTGGTGCCACAGCCGGGCGCCTGGAAGCGGCCGCCGCGTCTGCTGCAGCCAAGTGGGGCACGCAAGCCGAACACGCGACGTTCAACGTCATTTAGCGAAACGGAGCAGCTGAGCCCCGTCGAGGAGCTGCCGCCCAAGCCGCTTATTGAGGGTAAGTCTACAAATGCAACAACCCGAAGCGGACGTCCCTTACAACTCAATCCTCTCGACCTTACAGTGGTGGACATACCGCGTGATGACACGCCTGATCTATCGGAGCACGGCCTGGGCAGTCCGCTGAGCACCATTTCCGCAGCCACTTCGCACACGGCCGGCGAGCCGGATGCACTTGCCGCGGATGAGCCGGCAGCAGCAGCAACAGCAACAACAGCAGCAGCAGCAGCAGCAGCGGCAGCGGCAGCGGCACAGCCAGTCGTGGGTCTGATGCTGGAACCAGCTTTGATTCCGCCACTGCACAAGGCGCCCAAGTTTCGGGCGGATGGGCTCAAATATCGCTATGGCAACTTCGATCGTTATGTGGATTTTCGGCAGCTCAACGAATTTCGGGATGTGCGTCTGCAGGTGTTCGAGCGGCACGTGGAGCTCTTCCAGAACAAGGACATACTCGATATTGGTTGCAATGTGGGTCACATGACCATCACCGTGGCGCGCCACTTGGCGCCCAAAAGCATTCTGGGCATTGACATTGATCGCGAGCTAATTGCCCGAGCGCGACGAAATCTCTCCATATTCGTGCGCATACCCAAGGAGGAGCTACCGGCGCCGGAGATTAAACAGGAAGCGGGCGTGCAAGCACAGGCACAGTCTGCGCCCGATAAACTGGAGCCGAGCGATGCCAATGCGCACAAGAAGACGCGGCGCGGCAAGAAGCGACGCAAGGCGCAACAGCAGCAGCAGCAGCAGCAGCAGCTGGCACTGCAGCAGCTGCATGCACATGTCCATCATCCACATCATCCACATCATCCACATCATCATCACCACCATAATCATCATCATCACCATCACCATCATCATCATCATCAGCATAATCATTTGGATTTGCAGCAGCAACAGAAACTGGATGCACTGCTGGTCAAGCCGCACGAATTCTTTCCCATCTCTTTTCCGCTCACCTATGGCGGTATACCCCACCTGCCGGCCACGGGCAAATCGCCGGCAACGTTCGCTGCCGGCTGTAAAAATCAATTTCCGCAAAACGTATTCTTTCGCCAAACGAACTATGTGCTTAAGGATGAGTCCCTCATGTCCAATGACACACAGCAATACGATCTCATATTGTGTCTCTCGGTCACCAAGTGGATGCATCTCAATTTCGGTGATGCCGGCCTCAAGTTGGCCTTTAAGCGCATCTTCAATCAGCTGCGACCCGGCGGCAAGCTAATACTCGAGGCGCAGAACTGGGCTAGCTATAAGAAGAAGAAGAACCTGACGGTAAGTTTTTAGTTAATAGAATAATTCCTATTGTTTAGCACTAACTTGAAATTGCCTTTGCAGCCGGAAATCTACAATAATTATAAACAAATCGAATTCTTTCCCAACAAATTTCACGAGTATCTGCTCAGCTCAGAGGTCGGATTCAGTCACAGCTATACACTGGGCGTGCCACGTCATATGAACAAGGGATTCTGTCGACCCATACAGGTGAGCAAACAATTAAGACAATATATTTGGAAAGCTGTAAAATAATTTTGGGAAATATTTGTATATTTGGTGTGCGCTTTATATGTTCAAAAGAATTCAGGAGCTTCTGATCGAGATGATGTTTAATTTGAGACCAAGCAATCGATAGGGATTAGACTAAGTTTGTCCTCAACTGTGCTCGGTGGAAGAGCTCTTCCCAACTCTTTTTGAAGGTTACGAGTCTCTCGTTTGACTTTCTTTAGCTTTAAGATTGTGTCCAATGTCTTAATATATTTGTTCAATGCTCTCAATAGCCAACTGCCATTAAGCTTTAAAAAAAATACAAAATAGAGTGAACTCTCTGAAGTGAAACTGCAAGAAATTACAATCTGTATTAATATATATCTGTGTGTTCTACATGAGACTGTACTTTTCTGTTCCTTTCAAATAACTTTGAAATATCGCCTCTCTATGCGATTTTCATAGCCTCAGGTGATGTTAGACATGTTTGTTCTACAAGATTCTCCCACGCCAACTCTCTTTATCAAATAGATTAATGCTTTATGCGTTTTTCGTAGCCTCAAGTGATGCTTTTTCAATTAGCTTGTAAATATCGGCTCTCTATGCGATTTTCATAGTCACACGATACGTTTAGATATGTCTGTTCTACAAGCTTCTCATCCTCGCCTCTCTGTGCAGTTTCCACTTACTTAATTTTCCATTTTCTTCATTTGCAGTTGTACGCCAAAGGCGACTATACGCCGAATCATGTGCGCTGGAGCGATGCGTATTATCCGCAGACACCGTACGAGGCATATCGCGGCATCTATGCCACATTGCCCGCCCATCGAACGGGCGGCGGCAGCAGCAGCGCAGGCGGCAGCCACGGCGGCCACGCCCAACTGCATCTATTGAGCAGCTCGACGCGTTCACAGAACTACGATACGCCGCATTATGCGGGCAGCGCCTCCGGCTCGGCCAGCTGCCGCCAGACCCCAATGTATCAGCATACGTACAATCCGCTGGAGACGGACTCCTACCAGCCCAGCTACGACATGGAGTATCTCAATCATATGTACGTGTTCGCCTCGCCGCTGTATCAGACCGTTTGGTCGCCGCCGGCATCGCTGCGGAAGAGCTCCTCACATACGCCCGTCTTTGGAAGCGTTCGGGATGCCGAACTGGATGGCGATGGGAGCATCGGTGGCGGCGGCAGCGGCGGTGGCAGCTATCATCGGCACGTGTATCCGCCGAATGATGACACCTGTTCACCGAATGCGAATGCATGCAACGCCTTCAATTCCATACGCGACGCGGATACGGATGACTCGAATCAGTTGCCCGGCGGCAGCAGGCGGCATGTGTATGCCACAAACTGTGGCGAGAGCAGCTCATCGCCGCAGGTGAACCATCACGAGGCGGGCGCCGAGTTTGTCGACGCACTCATGGACGATGAGCAGAAGACGTTGGCTGCTGGCAGCGGCGCCGCTTACTGTGATCTCTCGGATGCCTAGAGTGGGTGGAAGGACGGACGGACGGCGGGCGAACTTGAAACTAATTGTGTCAAAATGCAAAAACTCAAACAAATTATATTAACAAAATTTATAAACTAAAGCAGAAAATATTCAAAAAAAAAAAAAAGAAACAAAAACTAAGTTAACGATATGTTGCGCTGGTTCATTTGATTTTAAATATATGTATATGGCATAGATTTTATTTATATATATATTTAATATCTATATATGTATTTTATATATACTTTTTAAATATATATATGTAACATTTATATGTGTATGTACATATCTGCCAAATCCAATCAACAATTGCAACGCATCTGTTTAGATCAATGTAAACGCAAACGAGACGCTTATGATTTTCTGTAATATGAACTTGCATATAAATACATATATATAAATATATATATATATTTTTTATATATTGTAATTTAATGGACGTGCATAAAATACAAATATATATATATATATTATATATAAACATTTACCATAGCCTTATATATTAACTAAAATTGTAATTTGCTTTCCAATGCAATTTTATATTATTTTCAAATATATATATATATATTTTTTTCTTTTAATAATTCTCTTGTTAGCAGTTCAAATCTATATTTAAGTTTTTAATGTAAATTCGTTAAGCAATATACACAAACACATACACTATATGCCGTAGCTTTAAAGGCAAATTAATTGTGCTATATATATATATATAGAGATTATACGTATATATATATGTGAATATTAACTGGAAAAACAAACCGTATAAAATGCAACTATTTTTGATTAACGTATTTGGAAAACGCTGCAAGGGATCGATGTAAAGATAAATATAACAAATTAAAAAACAAAAAGCAAAAGATTAAAATCAACAAAAAAAAAACCCATTCAAAATTCAAATATGTCAAAAAAGCATACAAAATACAATTTACTACATTTATAAATAATTATATATGCTTAAACAGTTTATAATAATAAAACAACAAATAATACTTTATGTATGTAGTTAATAGTTTAGAGCATTAATACATTATTTTTTCTGAGAAAATGAAACAATTTATAAAGCTATAACAAAAGGAAAAGAAGAAACAAACAAAAAAAAACTATAAAATAAACATCATATAATATGAAGCAAAAAAAAAACCTTATATTTGTTTGTTTTATCTGGAAAGTGAAAAAAGGACCCTGTATTGAAGAAAGCAACTGGAAATAACACCCTATAATGAACATAGATTTATTTTAAATGCTTATCATTGCAATTTTTTGAAGTGTGACACTTATCGCGATACTTTTTGTCTTTTTTGATAACAGAAGTGATTTTTAATTGAGATATACCCTAGGTATACGTACATAGAGGTAAGTAAGAGCCCATCCATGTCAAGTGATAATATCAATATTCTGTTAAACTCATCAAAACTTCTCTTACTTGGCCATTCTATATTATAACTCCCTATTTCTAAAGGATCTTAACTAAAGAAAAACATTTAAAGCCAAACAAAAAAAGTATTTACAAAAAATAAAATAAACGAAAATATTTTTTTTTTAAATGTATTGAAGGGTTTCCGTGGAGATAATGTATATATAAAAATAATATGATATCACATCATATGAAGAATGATAATATATATATATATATATATATATATATATATATATATATATATATATATATAAACATAATGAAAATATCATATACAGACGAGAGATAATTTATGTATATATTTCCTCTCAGATATTTTTATAGATATATAAAAAACAATTTTCTCCATGCCGCTCATTAAAAATTGTATATATTCATAACAAAATGGTACTATTCAGAAAATATCTCATTCATGATATTTTTCTTAATTAAAAAAGCTGTTGCATCCGATGCCTGAAATTGTCTTTTATGCTAGACAAAATGGGCAGCACTGGCAACAAATTTGTTGGTTCTGTCAAGATCAAACGGTATTCAATATTAACTATATTAAAAAATATTTGCAACAAAAATTATAAAGATATAGCGTCGATTTTTGGAATATTCATTTTTATTACGTTATTCTTGAGCAATCAATTCAGAAGTTTTAATATTAATTTAAAATAATAAATTTTTTTCATATTAATACTATTTACTATTTGATACTATTAGCTATTTAATACTATTTATATTTTTAACAATTACTAATTAAACTACAAAATCAATAAACTTCAATGATTTACACGCTATTTCGCACCACGGTGCCAGGCACACAGCTGTTTGATCGCCATTTGCTTGCGCTCTCTCACGATCTCTCACGATCTCTCACGCTCTCTTGCCGCTCACTTCCAAACGAAAAGCTCGCGCGGTGCCGTAATGCTGCGAGAGATAAGAAATGTCAAAGCTTGAATTAAACTGCACACTAAGTAAATGCTTGACAAACAATAATTAATGCAATCAAGAAAAGTGAAATGTAGACAGAGGTTGTAATGCTCTTGCTTAAATGATTTCGCCCTCTCTCCCTGTCTCTCTCTCTCTCTCTCTATTTCTCTCCCTCTCTGTCTCTCTTGTCTTTCATTGCTGTGGCTGCTGCTGCCCTTCCAGCGGGCAATTCCAGTTCTGCCAGCTTCAGGCAGCACGTTTTTGTTATTTTGTTTGTCAGTTACAAATTTGACGGCAACGGTTGTGGCTGCCGCGGCGACTGCGCTCTGCAAAGCAACAAGTTTTCAAGTGTTGTCTCCAACAACAGCGCGTGCGTCTCTCTGTGTGTGTGTGTGTGTATGTGTGTGTGTTCGTGTGTGTCTTTGCTTGTGTTAGTTTTGGCATCATAACAATTTGGCAATCAAAAATGTATTTTCACGCATTTTCGTGCTGATTTGGCGCCTTCGGCGTTGCGCCCCAATTGATTTGCACTTGCCAGCAATTTTGAAGGAATATATCCAATTAAAGTGCCACACTCTCAAATATTAAAGACACACATATGTATGTGTGTTAGTTTGTGCTAATAATAAAAGCGATTTGCGTGAATCATAAAAATATAAAAGCCGCGCAAGAAATAAAAGAGAACAAATCGAAACTAAGCAAAAGGCAGCAGCCAGTTCGAAGGCCATTCCAATAACTGCTTTTATTTTGTGGATATTGCTGTTTCATCTTCTTCTCCTTTGTCTTCGTCTTGTCACAACTTTACGTAAGTGGAACGCATATGCTTTTACAGTTCTTTTGTGTGCTTCTTATGTTAAGTATTTCTCTTAAGTATTGCTCTTAAATATTGTGACCTACTATTGAAAGGCGAATGATAAAAGCTTTAAAAGCTTGCTAACTGATTGACCGACTGAGCGACTGTTTGATTGACTTAAATATTGAATGATTGACTGGCGGATTCACTGTTTCTGGGTAGTATTTTTTTATTTTTTTTTGTTGGCCTTCTCAACCAATTCGGTTTAAGTTCATGTTAAAATATCTTTAATACAAAATATCAACGTATTTGTGTTTCACGCTTTTCGGCAATCCACCCTGCAGCGTGGAAATCTGATGTGCATGAAACTTTTATATTCCGCAGATCAACTTTAAGCTTATTTGCAAAGCTTTTTATTTAAAGGCTGCAATTTTGAAAAATTTAAGTTCGACTTGTTTTATAAACTATTAAGAATAAGTTAATAAGTGAATTTTGTATCAAAGGGTGTAATTGGCTACATTAGCTATGTGAGAACTTATGTTTTCTAATTATTTACACACAATTTATCGGCCTGATCGAGAATATATATTTAAATATGTATATATACTTGTGTATACCCTTTGAGCATTTCAGCTGACTGACTCATCATTTTTATGCCCAAGGAAAGGGCATATTTTAAAGGGGAACTCAATTGACAAGGGGCAATAATTGTTCTTATCGTAAATCAGCACTTTTCATAGGATTTCTATTTATAATGCTCGGCAGAAAGCGAGCTCCCATAATGGATTCCATGTAATAGTTTCCTATAAATAAATATATATATATTCATACACACATATTATATCATATGTATGTATGTATGTGTATTTATATTAACTTTGAGCACATTTCAGGTTTATATACACAATTTTTAGTTATATTTTTATCAGATTATTTTAAATTTTAATTTAAGACAAACTGAAAATAAGCAAATAAATATTTTTTTAAATGTTCTCATATATGATAAGTTCGTATATTCATTTTCCGACTAGGTTTACTTTTTGGCAAACAAACTGCATTCGTATAGGGTATCTCCTCGTCGTGCAATTACAGCGAATATTTTATGAATCAGCAGAGTTGCAAAACTGTGAACGGATTTGTCAACAGATCACAATAGATTGCAAAAGACATATTGTTACCCAAATCAACGCTGATTTAACATGCAAATAAAATAACTGTGTACAATCGGGAATTACAGCTATAACAATAGAACCCCCAATAGATTATTATCTTATCTGAACTTCGACCGGTAAATATATGTGTTTGTCCAGCACAAACATGTTTAAAAGCTTTTCGATGTCGAAAACACCCTGTATGAACTTTCGGACTGGAAAAGTATGCACAGTCTATATATATAGAGAGATTTCTATATATATATATATATACACACTTACAACCCAAGCAAATGATTTTTGGAGTGCGATTTCTGAGAGCTTCATCGGGTAATTAACTTAATGAAGTGGTCCGCAGCAATTAAAAACTATCTAGGAATGAAAATATCGTATTTAATGCTCAAATCGAGCTGCACATATTAAATATTTAAATCTGTTTTAAGAAACATTAACGTTTTTTTTTTTTTTTAATTTTTTATTGTTTTTAAAAACCATTATGTTTTTGAATCGAATCTATTTCTAACATTATTATCATTAGTATTAGTATTATTATTATTAATATTATTATTATCATTATTATTATTATAAGTATTAGTATTAGTATTAGTATTAGTATTAGTATTAGTATAAGTATTAGTATTAGTATTAGTATTAGTATTAGTATTAGTATTAGTATTAGTATTAGTATTAGTATTAGTATTAGTATTAGTATTAGCATTAGTATTAGTATTAGTATTAGTATGAGTATGAGTATTAGCATTAGTATTAGTATTAGTATTAGTATTAGTATTAGTATTAGTATTAGTATTAGTATTAGTATTAGTATTAGTATTAGTATTAGTATTATTAGTATTAGTATTAGTATTAGTATTATTAGTATTCGTATTATTATTACTATTACTATTATTATTATTATGT